GTTTCTCTCATTTCAAAATTTTAGATTCTCTGGATTATGTGATGATCCCATCTTCAGTCAAAAGCTTTCTCAGCTCCTATTTAACTGCAACTGGAAGGTCAAATCCCAAAGAAGAGAGAATCACCATGGAAGAAGGTGGCTACTCCACCTTGTACAGAGATCTCAAGAGCAAACTAACAACCACGAATCAAGTTTATGGAGGGAAGTTTTAGATGATCATTACTACACAACAATTGCAGCTAATGGAATACACTGCCTTTTAAATGTTCAAGCAAGTGCTAGGGTATCTGTCAGGAATATTAAAGAGTATTCTAAGATGACTTCTAAGGTTAGTACTGACTTTAAGATTTTGAATACAGGCAAAACTCTCCTTTTAGAAGTGAGGCTGGTAGCACAGGGGGCACAATGGTGGGAAGGTTGTAAATGGAAGATGGCACAGGAGGGATTTCTGTTTCTTGATTGGAGCACTAGTTACCTGAGTGTGGGCAGTTTGCAAAAAGTAAAATGTACACTTACAACTTTTCTGTGTGTGTTATAAGCCAATAAAACATTCAAGAAATTTTTTGTGATTTAATGACCTCAACCTCCTTGAATAAAATGGTAGCTAAGACATAGATGAGGCCAGAACAAGGCTTTTACCACATTTCCTTTTTAAGTACAGGGCAAAAAGACTTAAGCTGGTAAACAAAAGAATGCTGGAGAACCATTTCAACTATTTTATAAGATGGTGTACATTATAGATCAACTTATACCAGATAGGGAGGGAAGAAAAAATTTCAGGAGGAAAAGGGACCAGAACAATTGTTATCTGCCCTATAGAGATGCCCTATAAAGAAGGATATGAGAGGCTCAAATTTCTGGTAAGGCTACGAACATAAAATACAGTTTCATGGATTATCACAAAACCCTTTTCTGTATGATGAAAGATCTGGCATGGGAACATACTCAGCTGTTTTTTAATTGATCCAATCCAATTCTAGTGCAGATACAGGCTGTGCTTTTATAAAGCCATTTATCTGTGTATGATGGGCAATAGGCATAAAATATAACCTAGAGTCATATTTTGAGTCCTGTACCCAAGAAAATGCTTAGGACTCACTTTCCCCCCAAAAAACCTACTTTATAAATAATAAGTTTTGAAAGAATAATTTCCTGCTCTTCATATACTGAAACCAATAAAGGAGAGACTTCACAGTGGAAAAGAAAAAATACAGAAAGAGGGCAGGCTCTGATGATCAGCTTTTGATACAGTTAACTTACTATCCTAAGAAAACAACATTAAACATTAATCATTTTTGCTCTCATTTACAGAGCATGAACGTGACCTCTTAGATAACATTCCTACTTATTTTTCCTAACTGAAGATGAAACGAATCCTTGGCTTCAGGGAAATGCCTGTCTGTCTCCCTTGCTTTTTTGAAGACTGATGTTTGCAATTGGTTCTAGGAAGCAATCAGTCTTAAATGCAAAAGGATTCTAGCATCAGTTCTTCTGTGGAGGGATGAACCAACATTAAGACAAATGAATACAGGATCAAAGACTACGGTGAAATGAGGTAAGGATCTGATTATTCCCAAAAGCTTCACAGGACAGGTACCAAAGAAACTGTTCCAACAGTTCCATAACAGAAAGGCCTGTTCTGTATGCATTCATCTTCCTAGGGCAATTACCAATGAGGCTAGTAGAAGAAAAGGAAAAAGGACCAAGGACAAAGAAAAATATTGGCAGAGGGCCATAAATTAAAACTTCTGCAAAATTAAATGGGCACAGAGGAACTAGAGGTGCTGGAAAAGTCTCTATCTCATTGGCGAAGAACATCTTGTGAAAATGGACTGTCCCAAAATTAACATCTAGAAATGATAACATTTAGGTAACGTCCGGAGTTAATCACAGCAATACAAGACAGCCATAAAAGATGCATTCAAACCATTAGTTCAGAAGGCATGCTTTCTAGTCTATGACTAGATGAAACACAGAAACTAAGAGAACATATCAAAATCTAAATTTAAAAAGCAGGGAAAGATATTAACGTGCAGGAAAAGAAAAACTGTTAAAAAAAAAAGACACAACATAACTAGAACTACTGAGTCAATGTGAAACAAAATGCTTCCAATATGGAAAAATCGCAACGCAATTCAAGTCAGAGCAATCACAATCCCAAAGAGAACAACTCAAGAACCAAGTCTGAGTTTTTAAAAAACTCTCAGAAAGCCCACAGCAAGGTAGAATATCAAAAGAAAAAATAAGAACAGGACAACTAAATCCACACAAAACATCTATGCATGCACATCAAATTAGAAAAGATGTGGATCAAAACCTAAAACCTTTTTCCAAGCGATAACCCTGCCAGAAGCCCATCAATACTTCATAACTGCAACCCTAGACCTGTAAAAGAAATAAATTCCAGATGAGATACAGGCAGCCAAAGTGGTCACTCCGAAGCAACCAACAAGAAAGCTTCTCCCCCCACCTGCTTCTCAGATTTTTAATCTCAAATGTTTGAAAGATTGTCAGGCTTCCTCTAAAGAAAGTACTGGAAAAATGTTCAGAAAGACACAGAAGAGCCAGTGAGACTCTATTCAGTCCTAGGCCCAAAAAGCAAAATAAAAGATCCCCTCAGAATGACACAGGAGTCCGTTCAAAGTACTCAAAACTTGCCAACTGTACATTCTATCATATGGGCAGTATTCACCATCTCTGAGATTTCATAATCAATTTGTCACCTCTAAGATAGCATTTCCACAGGATTCAAACCAAAGGATCAGAATAAAACATATCTCGATTCAGAGCCTGTAAGGAAAAAGTCCTTGAAAGTAACATTACCTCATATTGTTTACAACGTAGCCAGCCACTTGACTTAGTTTAAGAGTGGAACATCAACAGGTCTACAGAGTAACATGACAATCTGGATAAAAGACCTATTAAGTAATAGTACTAGAGAAAGAGAAAGAGAGAGAGAGAGAGAGTGTGTGTGTGTGTGTGGTGGGTAAGAACTTAGAATTTAAATTTCCAAGTTTTAACAGAAATATAATGATAATTTTAACTCCAGATACCAAAATACTGGTAGAAAAAAAGAAGCTAAAGAGTTTATGATGGAAGAAAAGTTGAACAAAGAAGCCAAGAAGAAAGGTGGCTCACTCTGTAACACTTCTAGGCACAAGTAAACAGTAAAGAAGGGAGATCTGATAGAAGTTAACAGAGAACTGGACCAAGTAATATGTCTCAGAGACAAAGAGATCAAGTAAGCAACATAGGTTATTACTTACTCTTTGCTACTTCAGTAGGAACACATGACTAATAGTGAATTAAAACATGAAACGTAACTCAAGAGGAAGTTGGTGAATGGATAATGTGCTCCTGGCAAAATTGAAGATAATTTACCTCTATCAATTTGTTAATAGGCAAGATAAGGTTTATAGTAGGGATTAAAGGATAATCATGTCTTCTATATTGTAAGGAACAACGGTGAAATAAATAATGGCAAACACATGCTAAAGTAAAGGAAAAAATCAGAAGCTCTATCCTCTCATCTGAGGGATAAGTCGGCATGTTTAACTCTGGTAACATCTGAGAACGGGCCACTTTTGGGGAGAAGACATATTAAAACAATGACTTAACTCTACATCCTTAAAGTCCCAACAGGTACAACCTGAAAAATGCTCTCAGAAACTACGATCAGTTCTCATTAAGACAAACGTAGCCTCAATTTACACACATGTGTATTTTGCCTGCACTCTCCACTCCTAAGTTCACCTTTTATATACATGACAGAAGAAATGCTGGTGAATGTTTTATTACCTTTCTAACCAAAGAATAAAATCAGATCTAAGAGCCAGGCAATGTAGATATTGTGTCATATGCCTACTTGGGGCAATCAGGAAATCACAACTTAACTCTTGTGGCCCAGGAGAAAAGTTGTTTGCTAATGTAGAATACAAATTTTCCCAAGTCTACATTTTTGTTCTCTAGTGTGTGTGTGAAATGTTCCTCAGGAGCACCTCTGAGAAGGCTATAACTGATTCTTAGGAACATTATCTTAAAGTGAGAGTCAGTACATTTTTTCTACAAAGGGGCAGAGGTAAGTATCTTGGGCTCTGAGGGCTATGAGGCATCTGCTGAAACTTCTCAACACTGTCACTGGAGCGCAACAGCCACAGACAACATGTAGATGAACAATACGGCTCCGTTCCCATAAAATTTTATTTATGGATAAATGCAATTTATTTGAATTTCTTTTCATATAATTTTCACATGTCACAAAACCTTCTTCTTCTTTTGATCTCCCCTCCCCCTACCCTTAACCATTTAAAAATGTAAACCAGTCTGAGCTTAAGGTCCATACAAAAACAGGCAGCAGACCAGATTTGACCTGTGGGCTACAGTTTGCTCACCCCTAAACTTAAAGAATGACAAATTTCAAAAATTTTCAAATACTACACAAAGTTGACATCTTGTGGCTTTTTTTTAATCCTAAAAAAAGAGTACTGCCTGAGTCACATGAACATCACTAGAAATCTACTACGTTAGGAACAGACCAAAGTAACTCGCAAGTTTTAATGAAAGACAAGGAGAGAAACAAGCAATAGAGGTATGATGTCCAATGTATATTTCCCAATTGTTTGCTCCCAATGTATTTCCAGATAAAGTGAAAGGCAAGAAAATATGAATGACAGGGGGAAAAGTAGGGTGATACTTAAGCCATAAGAGAAAAATCTATCAAGCTATCTAGACATTTGCTAAAAATAAAAGAGGAAAACATCAGTTCTATTTCACATACATGTATGGTTGAAAAGTTTTTGATAGGAGACAATATGCAACACATTCTGAAGCTCATATCATGTCTAATCAAAAAGCATTTTTTTAAGCCAAAGGAAGATGAGAGATAGCTCCCACCATTCATGCCAGCCATGCCATGAGGACTACCATTTTCTTCTCACTTGGCTTCCGGTTAAAATCAAATTCACATTTAAAATATCAGAACGCTCCACTTAATATCCTACCTTGCATGTTCCTGAACTCCCACAATCTCCACTTCACTATCTGAAGAGGCAATATTAATTTCTTCATTGAGAGGTGCATTGCCACCTGATGTCTTGTCACTTGCTAGGAATCCTGGATCCAAATGACCTGAGAGAGAAGGGGGAAAAAATAAGCTCTACACTTTGACTTCTTATAAGCAGCACGAACAACTCATTGACAGATTTCCCATCAAGGTTTAATCACAGAAACAGGACTGCTGTACGAGAGCTCACCAGAGTGAAACTTTGTCAAGTCTCTGGCTCTCTATTCCTTAGGAAGAAAAGAAAAAAAAAAACAAAAAACACATTGAGTACTTTAGTAAATAGGTATATATAAACTGTGATAATACTCTATTATATTTTATTCCACAATGCTTTTTGCATTCAACTCCTGTCTGCTTTTAAATGACCTGTATAACAGGTCTGTCACCACCTAGAGGGCAACGGGGTTCTCTACTGCTTACCGGTGAATTTTAATAGAACAAAATTCTAAACCAGAAATGTTCAAAGGCATAAACGGAATAAATAACAGAAATACTCATTAATAACATATTTATACTGGAATGCTTTATGAAGGATTTAACAATTTTCTTTAAATTTTAAACAATTTTAACAGTCTTTCTCAAAAGGAATGGAGAGCTGACAAAATCTAAACCACATCTAAAAGAAAAGGCTAGAGGCAGATCATAGTTTTTGTTCTGAGCAACTGAAATATAACCTGTACGTTGCTGATAGTTCTTATTAGACAGAAGGAAACCACATACTCTTGGAAAAGCATAACAATTTGTGGCACTGGGGCATGTAAGAACTTTTTCACAAGGGGCTTCACAAAGCATCTATTACATGGTGCAGTAAAACACATTCTCCAACGCACCGAAAACATGAGCTTCATAGAACTCTCTCTCAGTAAAGGCTAAGAGCAAGCAGCAAAGTACACAGCAATATAAACAATTCTAACAAGAGTTAAAATAATTCAGTCTATGTACCCAGCTCTTAAGTGTTCTGGCCTTTAGGAAATTTAGAATATCTAGGAGTTATGAAATAAACCGAGTTGCAACAGGTACAAATTTTCAATTACTCTTTAAAAGGTATTTTTATTTAAATATATTGTCATCTAACACAATATTATGTCTCTGTATCAAAAAAAAAAAAAATCCTTGGAGCGCCTGGGTGGCTCAGTCGTTAAGCGTCTGCCTTCGGCTCAGGTCATGATCCCAGGGTCCTGGGATCCAGCCCGGCATCGGGCTCCCTGCTCTGCGGGAAGCCTGCTTCTCCCTCTCCCTCTGCCTGCCTCTCT